TCCTTCAACACAGAGCATCTTCAGAAGACAAGTTGATGAAATGAATTTTAAAAATCTGTATTGTTCGATACATAGTGTTTATTGAATGGTTCGATATGGGTACATGTATTGTTGCACCCCTAATAAAATAGATAGATAGGTAGGTAGGTAGGTAGGTAGGTAGGTAGGTAGGTAGGTAGGTAGGTAGGTAGGTAGGTAGGTAGGTAGGTAGTCTTTTGTTTTCTAGGTAAGTATTACTTAGGTTTTAACGAAGTGTTTTTGCTTTCTTGCAGTGTTTCCACGTGCCTTACTCTGCTCTCACCATGTTCCTCAGCACAGACCAGAAGGAAAGAGACTCAGCCACTGCTTACAGTAAGATCTTTTCAACATGCAATCAGTGCCCTAATGAACCTTTAAGAGGACTTCCCTGTTGGATCTATAGTGAAGAAGTGTTAAAAGGTGGTTGTTTGCTCGTGTGATGACAGGAATGACAATGGAGGTGCTGGGGACTCTGGTGGGCGCTGCCATCCAGGGCCAGATCGTGGCCAGCGCTCACACTCTGAAGCACTGCCCCACTCACAACACGTCCGCCGGGTACCTTGGAAACAGCAGTGGGGCGGAGATCGTCAGGAGCCTACACTCGCAGGACTACCTGWCACAAGCTGTAAGTGTCTCCGTGCCAGCCCCAGGAGCCCAGGTGTGCTAAAAAAAAAGAGGAGGGCACAAAGTTGGTCTRAGGCTAACGAGGGGCTGTGGCTCTGGAGCCGCGGCGTGTGTTCGAGGTGGTTTATTTTTGGAACGAAATATAAAAGTACCGTGCTGAATGAAAAGAGAGGTTGTTTAAAACTGGCTCCGTATTTATTGACTGCCTCAAACTTCTGACATTTAAAATATGCTTGTACTTTAACCCGTGTAACCCTCCAGATTGAAAATAATGTCGCTGTTTGATATCTGAACCTCGAATCCTCAGCCTGCTCCCAATTTACGACCACAAAGGGGGTCCCCTCCCTCACATCAGRCTGCGAGCGCAGCCCCGACGAGCTGCGGGGGGTTCTACAGTCTGCAGCTCATTAGGCCTATTTATGTTCCGCCCAGAACATTTGAAGGAAATATTGATCTTTCACCGCAAGGTAGTAAAAAAAAAAAGGGGGACATGATTGGAAACAGGCACGTTTTCAGCTAATCGAGACGTGAATAAACACTTGAGAATCCCCCATGGGAGTTTTTGCGCAGATGAAACAGTTCGACCGCAGCTATTTGGCTTTCCAATGGATTTTGGGTGAACCCTATCGGGGCGACCCACTCACCGCTCCAAACCCTCTGCAGCCACCGGCTGAATTCCACCCGCGGTCACTGGTGAGGGTGGTACACCTTCTGGGCTAACTCTGTCTGCCCTCGGAAACAGGGAGTGTAGGATGTGCAGAAATAATAATGAACCGCCGAGGCTGAACTGCACGGACAAAAACAAAACAGCAAACAAACAGGTTGTTTAAAGCAGAGCATGAAACCGTTCCAAACATATTTTGGGAAACAAGTTAGCTTGAGGTTTCTCCCAGTTCCAGTTAAGCAGACTCAGACCGGTGCGATGAACCCACACACGCAATAAATCATCTGAGTAACAGAACGGAAATAAACAGACAAACTAACGCCTCTATTTCCAGAATGAATGAATGTATATTGTGTTAAAATATTCAGGGCTCTGGAGAACATTGTGAATTAAAGATTGTGGGACGTCTCAGAATTCGCTTGCTGCTTTTGTGCGACGAGACAGATGGATGTAGGTCATGCTGAATGTTTGTTCTTTCCTTCTGCAGAAGGAGGTGTACATGATAGCTGCTGGAGTGATCGGAGGAGTCTTCCTCATCTGCACCGTGGTGATGTTCCTGGGCGTCAAAGAGAGAGACGGTGAGACCTTCGAGACCAGTCATCACACAGTTTACTCATTAACAGTTTTACATATTAACTACACCACATTACTCTGGATATTATTTAAAATGAATATGTTTTTTTCTGTTTAAACAATTTAGAAAAAAGTTTTCCTCCAAGCGATTTGAACAAACAAGTTGAATTTTCTATGCCACACCAGTAGGTGGCGATAAAGTCCACAAAAACAACATATCAAAATACAGAGAAAGACCATTCTAGGCTAAAAAAATCGAGGTACACTTCGCTGCAGCATGCAGAACGGGGCGGTGACAGACCTTTCCGTCAGTCCCATACCTTATATGGAAATGGGACTATTGCATTCCGGAAATGAAGGTTGCGCGGGATTAAGAGAGCAAAGGAAGAAGTTAGAGAGTTTCTTCTACTCACGTTGAAGTACTCA